GAGCTGAAGTTGGACGTTTAACTGACTGAGCCATCCAGGCACCCCAAGGTTCATCCATGTTATAGGATGTTTTAGAATTTCATTCCAAAGGCTGAATAATATCCCATTGTATGCATATACACATTGTATTTATTCATCTAGTGGTGTACATTGTGATTGTTTCCACATTTTGGTTGTTGTGAATAATGCTATGAACATTAGTATACTTGCCGGTTTTTAATGGATTATCTGTCATTCTAGTATTGATTTTTTTTTTTATAAATTATGAACATAAGTCCTTTGTCACATACATGTTTTACCAATATTGACTCCCAGTCTGTTGCTTACCTTGTTCTTTTAATTATCTTTTAAGTACAAGAATCTTTAATCCTGATAAGTATAATTTATAATTTTAAAAAATTTATGGCTATTTCTTGTGTCCTGCCAAGTCTTTTTTTCTACCTCAAAAATTCTTTTATATATATTTAATCTTGAAGATTTGTAGTTTGCATTTTTACTTTTAGGCTTGTGAGAGACCTTAAATTTTTTTGTGCACGTGGTGTGAGGTAGGGATTCAGGATTCTTTCCCCCATAAGGGTATCCTATTATTTCATCACGAGTTGTTACACATTGTCAGAAATTCAGTTAATTGTGTGATTCTATTTCTGGACTCTGTTCAGTTACAATGGTATATTTTTTTGTCTATACTAATAGCACACTGCCTTCCATCTTTTTACAGTAAATCTTGAGATCAGCTGGCAGAAATCATCCACCTGTTCTGGTATCTTCTTTATCCACATGTTCTTAGCTGTTCTGTGTCCTTTGAGTTTCCACATAAAGTTTAAAGTAGGTTTTTTCAGTTTCTGTTAAGAAAAAAAAAACAAAACCTACTGGAATTAGGAGTGATATTACATTGAATTCATACATCAATTTAGAGTGAATGTATACCTTAACAAAGCTGAGTCTTTAATTGTACGAATATGATACATCTTTCCATTTATTAAGCCTGCATTAATTTTTATCAACAGTATTTTGTATTTTTCAGAATATAGATTTTGAACCTCTTTTGTTAATTTCGAAGAAATGTGTTTTTTCATTCCCTTGTTTACTTCTAATATGAAATACAATTGATGTTTGTATAATGATGTTGTATCGTACAACCTTGCTAAATTTACTTGTTAGTTGTGGTTGCTTTGTAGATTCCTTGAGAGTTTCTGTGTAGGTAATCATGTTATCTGTAAGGAGAGACAGTTTTGCTTCTTTCTTTCCAATCTTTATGTCTTTTCTTTCTTTTTCTTGTCTGTTGCACCAGCAATGATATTTATGTGTGTGGTTTTGTTTCGTTTATGGCCCCATCTCATCTAAGGAATCCCCTCCCCCCCAAGCGCCACTTCCAGGGAACTGAAAACTTTTGTTTTAAAGGGAGGTTAAATTTTATCAAGTGCTTTTTATGCATTTATTGAATTATCATATGGTTTTTCTTTCTTTATTCTGTCAATATGAATGACATTGATTGATTTTCAAATGATAAATCAATTCTGCACTCCTTGGTAAACGCCATTTGGTCATGATGTGTAATGTCTTTACAATATATAGCCGGGTTTGGTTCTCACACTAAGGATCTTTGGATATGTGTTCACATTTATGACGTTTGCTATCAGAGTTAGACCAGCCTCATAAATAAGTTGACAGTGATTCCTATTCCTGTTTCCTGAATATGTTTGCATAAGACAGATATTATCTCTTACTTAAATGTTTGATAGAATTTGCCACTTTATCTAGGCTAGGCATTTTCTTTATAGAAAGTTTTTTTGCTGTGAGTTCAATTTCTTCAATAGATACCAAACTATTCAGATCATTTCTTCTTGGGTAAGTCTTGGTAGTTTGTGTCTGTATTTTTCATAATGATGATAATCATACAGACATTGAAAGGATAATGACATTTCTCTTAGATTGTGTAATTCATTGACTTTATATTTCCTTTCTTTCCTCATTATCCTTTTAATATCTGAAGAATGTGTATTGATAGTGCCTCTTTAAGTACTAATATTTATATTATCCATTTCTCTGTCCTTTTTCTAATCTGGTTATTTTTCAGTTTTTTTAATTGTTCTAATAATATCTTTATTTTCTATTTCCTTTATGTTTGCTTTTATATTATTTTTTCCTTCTTTGTACTTGAGATTTAATTTTCTTTTAGTTTTGATTTTGTAGCTTTTTAAGAGAAAATGTAGACTTTTTATTTTAAGCTTTTCTTCTTTATTAGAAAAAGCACTTAAAGCATCAGTTATCTTCCCTGTGGTGACTGATTTAATGACATCTCACAAATTTTGATATCATTTAATTCAAAATATTTATTTCCTTTGTTCTTTGAGAGATGGATTATTTAGAAATATATTGTGTAATTTAAAAATATTTGGGACTTTTCTTTTTGATTTCTAATTCAATTCTCTTTGGTCAGGGAACATACTTTGCAAGATTTCAATATATCAGAGTTTACTAAGATTTATTTCATGGTACAAAATATGATCTGTCTTGGTGAATATGCTACTTGCATTTGAAAAGAAAATATTCTGCATTTATTTGTGTGGTGTCCCATGAATGTGAGTCATACAAGCATATTAAAGTTTCAACTGTGAGGATTTTACTAGTTCTGTCAGCTTTCGTTTCATTTTTATTAGGCACATACACCTTTATAATTGTTTGATTTTTTTTTTTAATGACTTCACCTTTTTATCATTATGAAACATCTCCTTGTATCTCTACTAATATTCCTTGAAATGAATCCTATTGTGTCTATTATTGGATTTAGCCATTTCAGCTTTTACTTGGTATTTACATAGTATATCTATTTTCATCATTTTAGTATAAACATATCTGAGTCTTAAAGCATATAGGGTTTTGTTTGTTTTTCATTTTTTAAAAATTTTATTTATTTTGAGAGAGAGAGCAAGGGAAGGGGGAGAGAAAGAGGGAGAGAGAGAATCCAGAGTGGACTCCATGCTGATAGTGTAGAGCACGACTCAGGGCTCGAACTCACAAACCGTGAGATCATGACCTGAGCTGAACCCAAGAAGTCAGGCACTTAACTGACTGAGCCACCCAGGCGCCCCTTTTTTGTTTGTTTTTTGTTGTTGTATTTTGTGTCGGTCAACATCAGTCTTCAAAATAATATTTGGTCCATTTAATGTAATTATTTCTATAGCTAGATTTAAGCCTATTATTTTTACCATTTGTTTTCTGTTAGTCCTGTTTTTGTCCCTCTTACAGTTTCTTTTCTCTGGTGAGTTTTTCTTCTTTCATTATGACTATATTTTTTTCTGTGATATTGAACATATTTATAATACCTGCTTTAAAGTGACTATTTATTTATTTATTTTACTAATTTTGATATCTGGGTCATTTGTGGTCTATTTCTATAGACTCTCTTTTTCTCCTGACTCTGGTCACATTTTCTTCCTCCCTCCCACCCATATTTCTATTAATTTTTATTGCTGATCACCTCTTGTAGCTCCTTTGCATTTTGTTATCTTCCCCTGCAAGTTCTTGCTTACTGTTCTAATGGCAGTTAACTTGCCTGAACTTGAACACCGTCCGTCTTTCACCTTTAAGGCTGTTGCCTTTACCAGGACCCTCAAGAATCTCTCTGGATTGTACGTGCATAATTCAGGGGCGTACAGTATTTACTTGGGGTTCATACGCATATTTCAAGGCTCACTTCTCTCCAGTTCTTTCTTTTGCTCAGACTGTTGAGTGCTGCAGGTGAAAAGCCACATGAAAGCAAACCTTGCCTGGTGAGATTTCCTCTCCTGGGGGCCATCTTCACCCTGGTTTCTTCCGGCTTTTAGTCACTTTCTAGTGCTTGGACTGAGAGGTTCCTTCCTATCTTTCATTTAGGATGAACTAATGTTACAGTTCTCTAATAGAAGAGAAAATTCTTTTAGTGTATATAAAATATAAATACATGTACACGGTTACTTAGTAACATATATTTCAGAGTAGGTAGATTTTTTTTGGTTGCTTAAAATTATCTGCATTGGATATATAATGTGGCTATGATCAGACAAAAATGTTATTTAAAAAGTTGATAGGAAATAAATTGATTTCAGAAATCTGTTGCTCTAGTTTGCATTTCAAATTACTAAGATTCCCAAAAGTGGCTAATTGTCTTTTTTTTTTTTTTTTTTTTTTATTTGTTTATTTTTGAGATTGGGAGAGAGCATGAGCAGTGGGAGGGGCAGAAAGAGAGGGACACAGAGGATCTGAAGCAGGCTCTGTGCTGACAGCAGAGAGAGCCCAATATGGGGCTCAAACCCATGAACCATGAGATCATGACCTGAGCCAAAGTCAGCCGCTTAACTGACTTCAGCCATCCAAGCGCCCCACTAATTGTAATTTTTAAATAGACTGTCAATATTTAACTTTCCCAAGGTAGTTATCAAATTCAGCTAATAATATAGTATATTTTAAGTCTGTATCTCAAAACTTCTCAACACAAGTCTCTCACTACTTTCTATGCAGGTAGCTCAATGTGAAATTTCATTTTCTTTGTTTTTGTTGATGAACCTAATACTTGAACAACAAACACACAGGTAATCATTTTATAGCTAGTGTAAACAACAAATGCTGAGTAAAAGGCTGCTGTCAGAAAAATAAAGTTCTTATGGATAGCATTAAATGTGACATGTTTTGCCAAAAATATCCTGTTTTTCATAAGTTTAAAGGGTGAGTTTTAAAAAAACTGATTTTTAAGAAAAATATACTATACGCAAAGATTTTATATAATTGTAAAAAGTCTTAACTTAAAAGAAGTGACAATCATATTGTCAGGCACAATTAAGTGTTTCAAAAAAAGAAAACAGTTAAAACTAGTATTTTAAGAGATAAAGCCTGCTTATCGACTGCATTAAATAGAATTGCCTTTGAAGGTCTGTTTGTCTTATCTGTATAGCGAGGTAAGAATATTTGGCGTGTTTATTTCAAAATACCTAATTTCGCTTTACATATATATTATATAATAGATGTTGAAGAAAATGAAGATGCTGGGGCCACACCCCTGCCTACTCAGCCACCCCGGCCTTCATCTTCAGCTTACGACCCAGGCAGCGTGCCGTCCAGCAGCTTCACGGGAATCCAGATCCCCCCCGGTGCGCACGCTCCAGCCAACACGCCAGCGGAAGTGCCTTCCAGCGCAGGTAGGAAGTTCAAGTTAACCAGTTTTGAACTCTTCCTTTCGTAAACAAGAACCGCACTTTTCCTCATGTTTATGCCTCATAGTGATGGTCATAAAACATGGTAAGATCTTTAAATTCTATTTGAACCCACAAAAAATGTTAAATCCTTTTTGTTGAAGTTTTAATAGTAATTGTCTTTTCTTTTGAGAAATGATAAAACATTTACATACGTTACTATTAACTTTATATGTTTTATTACTAAGAACTTCTGTGCTTTTCATGAGTCATATTTTCTTTTTTTCCTCTCCCTTTTTTTGCCCTTTAGTGCTGTTCAGGATTAGCAGTGAGGTGAGCTGGTCTATTACAGGAAGTGTTGGTCAGCGTCCCACTGGATGAGCAAGATTTCATTTTTCTTGCTTTATTTCCTTAGGACCTGACCTCTGCCCTCAACATAGACATTATTGATGGAGGGAGCAGGCACTGAGGCACAGAATCTCAATTGCAGTGGAATCACAGACAACTGAAAACAGGGGATTTGGGTTGTTTCTTTTAATATTACAAACAGTTGACTAAAGGAAAAAAAGGGAAGTGATAACTACTATCCTTGAATAAATCAGTATCATAGGTCTGTGCTTTCATGGAAGAGATCTGACAACACTAGTCTCTAGTAATGTCAATGTCAGTAAATGAAAGATACTTTTAAAAATTGCAGACATGTACTTGCATTGTTGACAAAAGATCACCCTTTTCAAATAGAAGGGCATTTAAAACCATAATTTAATATCTTGATTTTTTCCAAAAATTATTCTTACAATATTTCTTTTATCTCCGCATAATCTATGGTAGTAAACTGTACAAACATTTCAAAATATATTTTTTAATGTTCATTTATTTTTTGGCAGCATGCGTGTGAGCAAGGGAGGGGCAGAGAGAGAATCCCTGCTGTCAGCACAGAGCCTGACATGGGACTCAGTCCCACAGATGAACCGTGAGATCATGACCTGAGCTGAGATCAAGGGTCAGACGCTTTAACCAACTGAGCCACCCAGGCGCCCCCAAACATTTCAGAATATTTGATCGATAGGAAAGTCATCCTTTGAGCCCCATTAATAACACATCATTACTTCATTGACTTTTAAATTTTCACCCTCAGTTTACCCAAACCATTCTAGGTTATTTTGCATGAGTTGACCACTATCTAAAAGTGTTCTACTTGACCATTGTAGTACCAGTTATTTTTAGTTTCTTTCCTCCTATTTTAAAACTTTTTTAGCTTTAGGGGCACCTGGTGGCTCAGTCAGTTAAGTGTCCGACTTTGGCTCAGGTCAGGATTTCCTGCTTCAGATCCTCTGTCCCCACCCCTCCCTGACCCTCTGTCTCTCTCAGATAAATAAAAGAAACAAACAAACAAAAAGCAAACCTTTAAAACTTTTAGTTTTATATTACCTGCAAATATTGCTGTTATTTTTGTCTTGAAGAATATTGATGAATGTGGTCATTTTAACACTGACGTCTTTTGTGTCACCATTCTGCATATTTTAACCTGACTTTGTTTTATGGTCTGTATGATGACTTTAATAGACACACCAATTTGAGTTTGTTCTGTAAGTATCATGGAACAGAATTATAAATATTTTCTTTTCTTTTAGAAATACTCAATATTTTCAGGTAGAACAATATAAGCAACACCACCAACTACTTATATGTATTTGCTTTAGGTTAATATTATTCTAATTATACTAGTGAATTTAAACACTAACCAGGAGCCTCAGACACACCAGTTTTAGAAAATAAAATGCATTTTGAAGTCAAATTGTATTGGTTATTAGTGCCTACCCCTTGCTAAAGCACAGACTCAACTGTTATACAGCTTCTCCTGACCTAGGTTTTGCCTCTTTCTAAAATGAAATTAACCATACTCTCATAGTGATTTTAATTATTAAAGGGGAAAAAGGTTGAAAATTCACTACTACTATGCCTAACACAAAATCAGTGTTCAGCAAATTAGCTTCCTTTTCCTTTTTTTTTTCACTTCCTTCCTATTTCTGTGCCAAAGACAGGGTATTTAGCAGCAAGCTAATGAACACTTAAAACCATTTTGTGAATCAAGGGAAGTGTCACCTTTGGGGGTAGGATATTGACCTTAAAAAAAGTTGCATGAGGGGTGTTGGTTTAGACAAAATATCTTTGGGCAGAATTCTGTATAGGCATATATTTGTATATTTAATATATAGTTCTATAGTACATATATAGAAGAGGGAGAGCTTATTTCTAGTAGGAAGGCTGAATTAGGTTTGGTACAACAAAAGTGATCAAATATTAGTAGTTCCATACATTCAGACTAACAGTATCTCCTGCTTAGAATATTCATGACATACATAAAGATAGATATCGAGGTAGTTTTCTGTTAGGAAGTTTTCTGGCATAAGCAGTTAATTTTGATCCAGTTAACTGGCATAAACCTTATTTATTTTATTTTATGTTTTCTCTTTTGTTCCTCAGAGCAAGCACATAAAACCAAAAGCCTTGGAACTTATTCAGGTTGAGGTTCTCTTGTGTTACTTTATATACACTCTAAATAGACTTAGCATTTAAATAATCGCCATAGCTATTTTATAAGTTAATTTTTACAGCAACTATATTAGAAATTGTTGTCTCTTATTTACATACTATAAAGAAATTAAGCAATTGTCCCATGAAAACAAATGTACAGGCATACCTGTTAGTGACAGAACTAGAAACTGAACCCGTGTCTTTCTGATTTTGTTTTTGGCACCTCCTTTCTATGTCTCTTCCTCCAAGGAACTAAAACCCTGTTAAATCAAAATCTACTTTTCCCATATAGTAATTTACCCCTTAATACTGGTTTAAGATTTTGGAATCTCCTCTTAGCTGGCAGATTTTTTTTTCTATTATATTTAAAACAGTTGGAAAAAAAAAAAAAAAAAAAGTCCCGAGTTGCCTAATAGCAAATGAAATAACATTTCTAGTTTATAAATATAGCAGATGTTTCCCCTCTTACTCACTTTAAGATTGATTTACTTTCCCTCATATAAAGATCCAGGATGCACTTTTATCAAAGGGAAATCCTTAAGATAGCTGAAAAGAATAGTATGTACTAATATACAGGTTTTAGTTCTTCCACAAAACCGCACCGAGGTGCAAGGAGGCAGCGATAACGTTTGTTCAAGCAGGGGGGGTGTTTGCCTCTTGTATTCGACCACTGTGGACTATCCGAAGTAGGTGATGGAGTAGATGGTGTTTCCTTTCCCTTGAAACATACGCTTTACACAGCCTGTAAGTGCTCAGGAAGAAGAGCTCAGTAACAAATCTAAGTAGATTAAATATTAGAACTGTTTCATAATTAATGCTAGCCTTTTGATGATAAATGTAGCTCAGCACATACAGAGATCAAAAACTCAGCGCTTTTATTGTTGTTCTTTTAAGTATCAGCACTGCATTTGAGTTCTCCTGTACAGCTTTCAGAGTTGTTAATATTTTGTCCTAACCATTTCAATCAATGCTATTTTCCGTGATTATACTGAGGTTTTACTCAACCCAATCCTCCCATTTTCTTACCTCTGCTTACAGTGTTCCTTGTAGATAGCATGTCTTTCTTTTCTTTGCCTCTCCAAATGCTACTCTTTAGGGTTATACTTTTTGGATAATCTTCTAGTTTTCTAACCACTACCTATTATTTCTCCCTTTTCAGAATCCCCACATCATGTAGGCAGTAGAACAATTCAGTACTTAATTAGACATTTTTTAACGTTTAATTCTTTTTTTTTTTTTAATTTTTTTTTCAACGTTTTTTATTTATTTTTGGGACAGAGAGAGACAGAGCATGAACGGGGGAAGGGCAGAGAGAGAGGGAGACACAGAATCGGAAACAGGCTCCAGGCTCCGAGCCATCAGCCCAGAGCCTGACGCGGGGCTCGAACTCAAGGACCGTGAGATCGTGACCTGGCTGAAGTCGGACGCTTAACCGACTGCGCCACCCAGGCACCCCATTAACGTTTAATTCTTGAATGTATATTAATGCCATTTAATAAGCTATGTAACCATCTACTTAAAAATTAACGAGAAGTTACTTGTTAATACCTCTTTTTGTTAAATAACAGAAGGAAGGAAATTTCCAACACAGTTCTGCTTTCCCCAGGAATGTTTTTATGGTCACATCACTCCAGCATATTGCAGTCTTGGGGACTGCGATCCATTTATGAATTGACAAACGAGACCTTTCCAAATCCCGAAAGAAAGAAAGAAAGAAAGAAAGAAAGAAAGAAAGAAAGAAAGAAAGAAAGACAGAAAGAAAGAAAGAAAGATAGATTTGGGCATCTCGAAAAAAAAAAAGTGACATAAACCACAAGCTATTTTTACAAATTTAACAAGTATTTATGAGGGGCGCCTGGGTGGCTCAGTTAGTTAAGTGCCTGACTTCGGCTCAGGTCATGATCTCATGGTCCGTGGGTTCGAGCCCCGCATCGGGCTCTGTGCTGACAGCTCAGAGCCTGGAGCCTGCTTTGGATTCTGTGTCTCCCTCTCTCTCTGCCTCTCCCCCACTTGTGCTCTGTCTGTCTGTCTCTCTATCAAAAATATATAAAATGTAAAAAAACAAAACAAGTATTTATGAGCTTGTGTTGGGCCTGTACACTAGGTCCCGCTGGGAACATGTCATGATGGCTGCCAAAGGACAGCCCTTGGCTCGTGCATCAGGACAAATGGAGGCAGCATCTTCTTACTGCTGCGTGAGGCGCTGAGCAGCCTGTGTTGTCAGTTCAAGTCTTGGTTGAACGACTGTGACCACAAGTTCTTTTTTTTTTTTTTTTTTTTTAATTTTTTTTCAACGTTTATTTATTTTTGGGACAGAGAGAGACAGAGCATGAACGGGCGAGGGGCAGAGAGAGAGGGAGACACAGAATCGGAAACAGGCTCCAGGCTCTGAGCCGTCAGCCCAGAGCCCGACGGGGGGCTCGAACTCACGGACCGCGAGATCGTGACCTGAGCCGAAGTCGGACGCTTAACCGACTGCGCCACCCAGGCGCCCCAACCACAAGTTCTTAATAAAATACACACCACATAATTTTTTTTAGTATTGCTTAAATAAAATTTTACTACATAACTAAATTTCTGTGCAAATTCTGTTTTGTTCTTGTTAATTAATATTGTCTATTTAGTCATGTGAAGATGTATGAATAAGCATTTAAAATTTAATAACAAGATGCTGATTGGGGCATCTGGGTGGCTCAGTTGGTTAAGTGTCCAGGTTAAGTGTTTGGCTCAGGTCATGATCTCGAGGTCTGTGGGTTTGAACCTCGCAACGGGCTCTATGCAGACAGCACAGAGCCTGGAGCCTGCTTCGGATTCTGTGTCTCCCTCTCTCTCTCCCTCCCCCACTCGTTCTCACTCACTCTCAAAAATAAATAAACATTTTTAAAAATTTTTAACTAACAAGATGCTGATTAATAAAAATATTCCTTCTCCATAGAGAAACGGATTTGTTTGGAGAACTTAATTTACATAGAAACACAAATTATTTAGCAAGGAATGGCAATGATATCTAGATTGATCTCATTTTTTTTTAACATCAATATGAAAAATATATAGTCACGTCTCTATGCTTTAGATACATCAAAACACTACACTTGATTAGGTAGTCTTGAAGATCCCTCCCAAAGGTTGCATCCCTTGTTAATGTTTATTATGTGCCTTTAAAGGTTAACAAGTTTTGTGGGAACAATTATGTCAGATGTTGATAGTTTAATATATTTGGTTAGCAATTATCAAAATCAAGCAAAAGATAGTCATTAAATTGGTCAGTTTAAAATTAAAACCTGACTTTGCAGTTACACTTCTTTAAATTTTTCCTATAAATAAATTCATACACATTGTACATATGTATATGTACACAGTATATAAGAATATTCACTGTAGTGTTATCTCTAGTAGCAAAAGAATGAAAGCAACCTACATGTCCATCAGTAAAGGACTGCTTTATAAATTGTGGTTCATACATGAAATGGAACACTTATGTACCCATGTAAATTAATAAGGTAAATTGCAAAATATATTAAGTGAAAAATGTACAAAATAGTATAGTATGCAGACATATTACCATTTACGTTAAATACATTATGTAAGCACTCAAAATATATTTTCCTGCATGTTTTCCATTGCAGCTTCCAACATCAAATAAGTGTGTCAAATTATAATTCATTAAGGTTCCAAAATACTAAGAAATGAAATTCCTTCATGATCCTCTAAACGCTTTCCTAGTATATAATTAAGAGGTATAACTGTAATACCCATTTGTGCTTTTCCGATTTGCAGGTGTAACAAGTAATACTATCCAGCCTACTCCCCAGACTGTTCCGGCTATTGATCCTGCACTTTTCAGTACAGTGTCCCAGGGTAAGTCAGCTGTTTTTGTGATATATTGTATCTCCTGCTTTGGGCATTGTTTGGTAATTTTACCTTAAGAGTGTTGTATATTTGAATGCCTAGGTAATTTGAAACACATTTCTTTGAATGGCTGTGTTCACTAGATTCTCCAGTGAGCCAAGATTATTTCATATTATCCAAAATACCCAACTTTGAAGGCATTCCCTTTTTTTTTTTTTTTTAGTTTTACAGTTCCTTTTTTTGTATAATGCTGGATATAGTGGCACAAACATATAGCCAAAGCTATCATGAAAGCTTATACTAGATGACTTTACTTCAGAATTACCATGTGTTATGATTATGGTCTTCCTTATCTACTACATTAAATTATTAGATTATCCGAAAAGAGAACTGACTGTACTTGAAAATAAAAACAAAAAAGAACCTTTAATAAACTGGCAGATTACCCAACAACATAATGGAAAACATATCACCTGCCCAATGAATACCATATTCCTCTGTTAAACTTGGTTTCCAGACTCCCCTCTATAATCCCCCTCAATTTTAAAAGCTCTGTCTAAAATCTACTGTGAAAATATCTGAAAAAGATAGATCAATGACACAGTAGGGAATCTGGAAACCAGGCCACACAGTATGGAAATTAATGATAAAGGTGGCATTTGGAGCAATGTTGCAAGAATATATATTCAGAAGTGATGTTACAACAGTTGGTTATCAGGAAAAAATATATATTAGATTCTGTCTCCCAGTTCTCGTATCTGATTTAGTTGCATCTTAACAGGCTTAACTAATGAAAAATAATAAATTCCATACCACGAAGATTCCCTCTTCCCTATTACGTTCTTAAAATGCAACTAATAGATCAGGAGGGAATTGAAACTTAAGGAATTAATGTCCAGAGCATATATAAAGAGCTTCTACAAATGAATAACTAAAACTCAGTTCACCAAAAAAAACAAAAAACAGGCAGAGAATATGGCTGGTAACACAGATAAGCAGTGAACAAATGAAAGGATGCCCAGCCATACTAATAATCAGGGAAATTGAGAATTAGTAGGAATTTGGTTTTATGTCAATAGATAAAAAAATATTTTATGGCACAAAAACAGACATTCAGATCAATGGAACAGAACAGAGAACCCAGAAATGGACCCACAAACATATGGCCAACTCATCTTTGACAAAGCAGGAAAGATTATCCAATGGGATAAAGACAGTCTCTTCAGCAAGTGGTGCTGGGAAAACTGGACAGCGACATGCAGAAGAATGAACCTGGACCACTTTCTTAGACCATGCACAAAAATAAACTCAAAATAGATGGAACACCTAAATGTAAGACAGGAAGCCATCAAATCCTCGAAGAGAAAGCAGGCAAAAACCTCTTTGACCTTGGCCTCAGCAACTTCTTACTCAACATGTCTCCAGAGGCAAGGGAAACAAAAGCAAAAATAAACTATTGGGACTTCATCAAAATAAAAAGGTCTGAACAGCAAAGGAAACAGCAAAACTAAAAGGCAACTGACGGAATGGGAGAAATTTGCAGATGACACATCAGATAAAGAGTATCCAAAATCTATAAAGAACTTTTCAGACTCAACACCCAAAAAACAAATAATCCAGTGAAGACATGGGCAAAAGACATGAATCAAAGAAGACATCCAGATGGCCAACTGACACATGAAAAAATGCTAAACATCACTCATCACCAGGGAAACACAAATCAAAACCACAGTGAGATACCACCTCGCGCCTGTCAGAATGGCTAACATGAATAACTCAGGCAACAACGGATGTTGGTGAGGATACAGAGAGAGAGGATCTCTTTTGCACTCCTGGTGGGAATGAAAACTGGTGCAGCCACTCTGGAAAACAGTATGGAGGTTTCTCAAAAAATTAAAAATGGAACTACCCTAGAACCCAGCAATTGCACTACTAGGTATTTATCCAAGGGATACAGGTTATGCTGTTTCAAAGGGGCACATGCACCCCCCATGTTTATAGCAGCACTGTCAACAATAGCCAAAGTATGAAAAGAGCCCAAATGTCCATTGATGGATGAATGGATAAAGAAGATGTGGGGTGTGTGTGTGTGTGTGTACACAATGGAGTATTACTCGGCAATCAAAAAGAATGAAATCTTGCCATTTGCAACAACGTGAATGGAACTAGAGGGTATTATGCTAAGCAGAATTAGAGAAAGACAAATACATGACTTCACTCATATGAGGACTTTAAGACACAGAACAGATGAACACAAGGGAAGGGAAGCAAAAATAATATGAAAACAGGGAGGGGGACAGAACATAAGAGGCTCTTAAATATGGAGAACAAACAGAGGGTTACTGGAGGGGTGGTGGGAAGGGGATGGGCTAAATGAAGGAATTAGGAATTAAGGAATTAAGGACATTAAGGAATCTACTCCTGAAATCGTTGTTGCACTATATGCTAACTAATGTGGAATGTAATTTTTTTTAATTACAAAAATTAAAATATATTTTAAAGGATTGATAATCTACAGTGTCAGTGAAGACCTAGGGAATGACTCTTGGCATGCTGTTGCTGGGCAGTATACGTTAGTAAAGTTTTTCGCAGCAGTATTAGGTCACTAATTTTTTGACCCGGCTATATTCCACTTTTAGGAATCTGTCTTAAACAAATACGTAGACATGAACACTAAACATGTTTACAAGGATATTTTATTTCAACATCATCTAGTAGTAGAAGATAATCTTATGGTATTATTTAATAATAATGAAAATTATGGTCCATTTGTCCTATGGACTACTGAGCACATATTAAAAAAGAATATAGTAACTCTGACATGAAAGATCTCCTCCACATACTGAATTAAAAAAGCAAGTTGTAGAACATTCTGTATAGTATGAGCCTGTTTAGGGAAAAAAAATTAAGACTCTGTCTTCCCGCATGTACATATGTGTTTAAGTACATAGAAAAATTCTAGAGAATGCACAGACTACAACTAGTCGTCTCATAACCATCACTAGCTTCACCACCGCCTCCAATACTCCCTAAACCCCTTTGCTGCTACATTTTTCTCTTTAGTGCTCAGTACTCATCACCTTTTAATACCCGTATTATATGTGTGTTAATATATTAAATATTTTTGTAGTGAGTCTGTGGCTGAGTGTGGAGAAGAGAATGGGATTGGAAAGGTGGTAGATACAGGAAGCAGAGCATTTCCCTTTTTAACTCGTGTATGTAGTATTAGAATGTGAATAACAACGTACCTCGTAAGTTTTTTTGGAAGATTAAATGGAATATCTGAAAAGTATTTAGCACAGTGCCCGATGCAGCCAAATTCTGCCTCAAATCATTACTGCTGTTGCCATTTTTAAGTGACGTATCTTGGCAGTGCCTGCACATAAGGGTTTAGTACTGAGGTTTGTCTCTACCCTTAAGGTTTACTGGGTATCAGATGGTTCCCCTATGATCCTGCCTGTGCTTTCCATTCAAGTCAGAGGATTATAGAGTCCACTAGGGTCAGATTATCCAAAGTCCCTGACGTGAATTTCTAAAATTACCAAGTTAGATAGAAAAGAGTCTTTAAAGACCCATTTTGGAAATTTTTACAATGAACTATTCTTTGCTCTGTCATGACATTAGATAAATCAACCTTGGAAATGGATTCTTCTATCCTGTCAACTGAGTGTGCAGAGATTTTCTCTTTACACCAAAAATGTTATCTTTGATCCAGTGCTGACCCAGGCTCTTTCTGCTGCAATAGGGAACTTCACTAATAGCCCTAGCTGTCTTCTGCCTTCTCGTACTGCCCTGTAAAGGAGAAAAGCAGCCCTGTGATGAGGACTGTCTTGCCTAAAGCCATTTGGAACATATTAAGCATAGAGTTCAGAAAAGAGATATTCTGTTAGACAGCCTCTCTAATCCTTTAAACACCTTTTAGGTCCACAATATGCTCTCTCTGCTCTGATTATGGCCTCTAGTAAATTTTAGTAATTGAAAAAACAGCTTCTATATGGGTGCACGAAGAAGTTTTTACAATTTGGAATATAATATCAGATACTGAAATTGAACGCTTGTTCTCTTATGTATTTTCCACTTCAGTTTTCAACTGCTAATTTAAAAGAATCATAATTAAGCAGATTTTATTTTTTTTAATTTGAAAGTTTAATGACATGTTTTATTATTGATGACTCTTAGATGATATTTGTTAAAAGAAGGAAAGCCTGAAGTGTTACAGAATAGCAAAAGTAACTATTTGACATGGCTTTTTAAGTTCTTTTAATTGTTGAAAATAAATCTAACATCTCTATATAAATCTGTAAGTTACATTTTGTATCTGAATGTGTAAGATGGTTATTATCTAATGATATTTTATCTGCTAGTTACATAATTTCATACAAGTTTATAAGATACATATGTATCTGTAATGACATTTTCCTGTTAAAACACTTCCATTCATATTTTCTGAATATTTGTGTTTTAAGATAGTTTTATCATTGGTGTATAAGTTTAGTTTGTAAAAACTAAAATAGTCACAGAGTTCTTGCCACTACAGACATCTTATTAATAAGTAAGTGGTATGTCAGCAAAACAGTGCTAAGGCTAATGGTATAAAAATATTAGTTCTGTGCATTGGGTTTTCTTCCAGCAAGTCCAGTAAATTCTAGATGGATGCCCTACATATTTAAAAATTGCCCTGAGATAAGAGGACAGGCTGTTAAAGTACAAAATGATGAGTGGGGTAAACTCAGTTTTCAAAAATGTCTCACACACCTAGATAGTATGTCTAGCTCTAGATGACCAGAGCCTCTTAATATATCTAGAAAAAACTTTGAAAAATCTAGTAGGTATTTTCAAGAAAAAAATACAACCTAAAGTGTCCTGACTAAATTGTCAATAGAGCTGCAGGATAATTGGTTTTTAAGTTTAAGTGGTAACAAATGCCAAGTCACTAAATACTAAAAGAATTTAGTACTTTCAGTAGTACTAAAACTTTTAGTACTACTGGAGAACTTTTTTTTAATATATAATTACATTTTACTAGTTTATTGATTTATATTTTTTGCTTTTTAAGCAAGACTGGAACTTAAGAAAATTGAAGTAAGTTCTGTCAAAATTGGAATGTGTAATTTCTTACAATAGTAAGATTAACCATTATAACTTTAATAGCATTCAACAAGTATTTGAAGAATTTATATGTAGCACACTGGCTAGTTACCATATGTAGATATGTGTGTATTTATATTCTCTTAAAGTCAGAAATTAATATGTAATTCTGTGTGAACTTGATTCATTTTAAAATGTAGGAAATAATATGAAGTGGAAACATATTCATTCATTAAAGTTCTTCAGCACTTATCGGTGCCTGATCCTGCCCTAGAAACTTTATGATCCATTATTTCAGAACTCTTTTGAAAATTTTAAAGAAAATAATAATTTGGATCAGAACTTAGTGTCCAGATACCTGCAGTTGCTATATGTGTAGATATGTATAACATACGCACATATATCTTTGGAAAAATTAAAGGTAACTAAACAAAAATAGTCTGTTTATAAGTACAGACTTATAAATAGAATTTGAAATATATTATTTGCTCGTTATATTCTGTGCCTCAGCCTCCTATCACTTCTTTTTAGAATCCTCATAAAAAATTCTAAAGAAAATGGTATTTCAAAAGACAAGACATAAAGTCAGTTTTTAATTTCATCTTTAGAAATATATATTCAGGTATATTCAAATTTTAGATTAAATGAAATGTTTTTAGCATTTTGGTTTTCTTTTTTACCCAGATTATTTATTTAAAAAAAAAATTTTTTTTTCAACATTTATTTATTTTTGGGACAGAGAGAGACAGAGCATGAACGGGGGAGGGGCAGAGAGAGAGGGAGACACAGAATCGGAAACAGGCTCCAGGCTCTGAGCCATCAGCCCAGACCCCGACGCAGGGCTCGAACTCACGGACCGCGAGATCATGACCTGGCTGAAGTCGGACGCTTAACCGACTGCGCCACCCAGGCGCCCCTTACCCAGATTATTTAGTTGAGCACTACCCATATTAACCATATATGTAACTGGAAAACTTGCCAAGAATAAATTTTGGACATAAATTGTAAAAGTTGTTCACGTGTTGAATTTTGTAGTTCAATGATAGTATGTTCGTTAAACCTTAGAGTTTTATATACGGATGGCACAAAAACACAAAATATTTTCATGCTAAAATAAAAGTCAAATGGCTTATGTAATTTTTTAAAAATGTTATTTATTTTTGTCATTGAGAATTATATTTATATTCTAGTTCAAATGAGGGTTCAATGGTTTAGTCTGTGTGTATTGTTCCATGAAAAGAGAGGCTTAGCAATTCTAACATAAACACCTAAACTACTGTCCTTATTTTACACAGAATATAATTTTTTTTGCAATTAATCTACCAAAATACAAAGGCCTCTAGTTTATTACTTGGGGGAAAAAAACCTTTTCATATAAGTTATTGTGTGGCATGTGTATAGTTTATATGAGTAAGAAAAAATTTGAAAAGCATGGAAAAAACTTATTTAAATACCCTGGGGTTGAAAAAAGCCTTCATGTTTTTATATAACCTTAAATATTTTTTTTATAAATGTAAGCATTTAACCTAACAGAATACATTTCTATTCTTACGGATAGCCTTATTCTGTTTGTCTTCCAGCGGATATCCGTCTAACACCAGAGGACTTTGCCAGAGCTCAGAAATACTGCAAGTATGCTGGCAGTGCTCTGCAGTATGAGGATGTCAGCACAGCGGTGCAGAATCTACAGAAGGCCCTCAAGTTGCTAACTACGGGCAGAGAATGAAGCCTTTGTACCACAAGTCCGTACATTTTTGGCTTAAAGAACTAACAGTCCATTACTCTCTCTTCAGCCTATCAGGAGCACAGTTTTAAGGAAGACTTCAGTTGCATTGACTATAACAATGAAATCTGTGTCTGTGTATCAGATTCCTGTTGAAGCATTCAGCAGCAGCCTCAACCAGTTTTCATTGTCCATTTAGTGGATCCAGTAATCTCCGGGTATATCGGGCTGATGTTAGCAAGATCCAGAAATGCCCATTGAACCCTGCTTCAGAGAATGAAATCACACTTCTACAAAATGTATTGGGATTCGCAGTGTATCTTAATATACATAAATTAAAGACTTTTAAAAATCTTATAATTTGGACACACAGGCTATATTACTTTTATAAAATTCTAAATTTAACTTTTAATAGAAATTGCCAGAATATTCTAGATTAGAGATCATGTTTCCACCCCCCCCCCCGGATTTATAAAACAAATATGAACATCCTAAACTGTTAGATGAATTTGAGAGGGATTATGTTCAAAATTAAAATATGTTCATGTTTAATAGAACTACATTAAAAGTGAAAATTGTTACAGAAGAAACCAAGGTAAAGAGGTAGAATCACTTTTAGACTTAAGAATAATGTTGGTTTCCCAACAGCTTTCCCTTCTCCATTGAAGCTTAAAGTGAATTGGTATTTATTCATAGGCAGTTTGACTGCATGTATTAGGGAATGAAAAGAAGACATTTGTAGTAATGCCTGGAAACTTGGTGCTTTAAGTTAAGGTTCTCCTCTGCTGCTATGGAATGGATTCCATAAAGTGGATAGCTCTGAGCGCTGCAGAAGACTACAAGAATTTAGACTCTCAGTTGTTCAGTTTATAAGTTTTGTGGGAAGTGACGGACTTACTGTGTGTCACCTACATTTGTGCTGTGTAAAAAATAAATACAAGGATTCTTTTAACTCGTTCCGTTTATCACAAAGCCAAATGTCTGTTTTAATTTGCATGCTAGAGTTGTCATTTTTTTTTTAAGTCATTATGTTTAGTTACAGGAACATGGATGTTTCTAAAGTAAAAGGCGAACAATTTTTAAAAAGAGGTAAATTTGCTAAATTTACCTGAAATTTATCTGGTTCATTTCATTCATCCCACTGAGATTGGAGTCATTTAACGTAGGGGTCCACAAACTATGTATGGTCAATGGGCAGACCACCAGTTATGTAAATAAAGTTTTATTGAACTAAAACCTTGCCCATTATTTATGTTTAATCTGTGGTTGCTTTTCCTGACTACAGAATCACATGGCCTGCAAGTCTAAAATATTTACTCTTTGGCTCTTTAAGAAAACATTTGCTGAACCTGTTCTAACAGTCTATTCCAAAGAAAATGAATCATTATCTCATAACCATTCGTCTTTCAGTTTTTCTTTGCGTAAGTATAATGCTATTGCATAGCATTTGATAGAATGAATATTCAGACAGAATAAACTATTGTAAATCATTACAAAAACAAGCCCACAAACCATGCCTCCTGAAAAACATTTTCATACCTTTCACAACTAAATTCCTATAACATTTGTGGAATTTGATATTTGCATCTAGAACTCCAGTGCTCTGAAACATTCCTCTAGCACTTTATTGTAGTACAAGAGTGTCTAGGATGATCTTTTAATGTTATAAGAAGTAAATAAATTCAGTGAAGTTTAATTCAGATTTTAACATGTGTGGATACCAGAAAGAAAACTGTCACCTCCCATCTCACACCCTACTTTGTTGCTCCCTATTGGGAGAGCACATTGAGGGGAAAAGATAATGTGGAAACCCTGGAGTCCGCTGATAAGTGCGCTGTGTTATAACAGCCCTTATCTCTAAAATGGAAGCCATATCACCAGCCTCCTCAGAATTTGTTAGAGGAGATACTTTACAGGAAGTGCTCAAGAACCAGTAGCTTACCATAAATGTTTATTGTTAATGTTCATGTTAAGATAATGTAAATTATTAATAATTTGTTTTCCAAATATCAGGAAATCCCAGTTGTCTCTGGCAGTGCTTTATTGAACTGTAGAGATTTTTGGCTTTGCATGTCTTTATATAAAATCTGTCAAAATAAGGTTAAAATTGTTTGATGTAGTGCTAGAATAAGCGATTTTCATTTAGCCACTCAATGTGTATTTATTGAGCAGCTATTGTGTACCTAGTATTGTCTTTTGCATGAGAAAACAGCAGAGAACAAGAAAAGAATTCCGGCCTCTTAGAGTTTATATTCTTAGGGAAAGGAAAAAACTTAATAAAAAGTTTATATTCAACCAGTGGTTTTCAAAGGGTAATTGTTAGAAATGGCAAATCTTAGGCTCTGCCCCAGTCCTATCCAATCAGAAAGTTGTAAGGGTGGGGGCCCAGCTTTCTGGGATAAGAAACACTTTAGTCTGATGGTCCCTAAAGTTTTAAGTAATTCAGTCCTATCCAAATCACAAATAAGAATGTGAGAAGAGAGATTCTCCTGAAGCAGTAGCTCACAAAGTGTGTGGTTCCTGGACCCCTAGCTATCAGCATCACCTGGGAACTTGCCAGAAAGTTCTGGGGATCATACTTGAGTTTATGTAGTAGTGATAAATTCAGTGGGGAAAACTAGAGTATGGGATAGGAGATGCTTAGATGGGTGTAGACATGCATGCTCATGTTTAAGTAGGATAGGATGGGCCTCACTGAGGTGACTGCCTGAGGGAGGTAGAGGAAGAACATTCCTAGCAGAGGGAGGTAGGCAGAAGAGGTCAGAAGGTATAAGCGACAAAGGCTGGCGAAGGGAGCCACAGGCTTAGGAACATATACAGGCTTTTTATAAGAGACCAGACTTTGAACAAAATGAGCTGCTGAGAGGTTTTGACCAGAAGAGTGGCCTGATGGTGACTTAACTTTTAAGAGGATTGTACTGGCCACTGTGTGGAGACTAGACCATAGGGTGGGTAAGAGTGGAAGCCGAGAGAGCAGTTAAGAGTATTGCAATAATAAAGGTGAGATATGGCTTAGATCAAGTGTAGCAGTGGAGGTAATAAGATGCCTTTGGTTTCTGGCTGTCCTTTTAAGTAGAGACATCGAATTTCTGATAAACTGGATATGAGATCTGAGCATGGAAGGAGTGAAGATTGACTCCCAAATTTGCAACCTGAACACTTAGAAGAGTAGTTGTTAATTGCAATATGGATAGTGGCCAAATTCTGCTGACGTTTAGGCTGAAGTACAATGTTCCCGAGTTCTGGTGACCATCCCAAGTAAAGCTATTCGATAACATTGGTTTGCCAATGCAGACAGAGGGGGAAGAAAAAAGGTAAGTTCTGTCTATAGTGATTGTCACAGACATCTCACCAAATCACTGCTGAATTGGAGCTAGAAGCCAAGGACAGAGCCCATGGTTAGCCTGGCCAAGGAAGTATGCAGCCTTCAAGATTACTCCAAGAAAAAAATCCCGGTTACAGGTCCTGAAAATTAACAGCCTAGGATGTTCATAGAATTGATCTCCCTATTTATATGACGTGTAGAAATTTGAGGTTACTGTGTATGCACTAAAAGTTTATATGCTGTTCTTTCTAAAGAAACTTACACCCTATTAGCAGCATCGTTACAAATACCTTCAACTGAAAAAAATGATAACTGACAAGGGGTTGAAGAGTTTTGGTTATCTGCACAGCTTTCTTTAGCTATCCCCATTAAAAAAAAAAAAAAAAAAAAAATTCATTTCATGTATCCGAGCAGTTGGAGCAGATCATCTACCTTGGACCATAAGTAAACCTCCACCAGTACTGCTCACAAAATTTTAAGACACCCCTCACGTGGAGGTATGCTTACCTGGTTATAATCTCTGATGTGTGTATGGAATTCTGAGACCAAAACCTCATTCACTGGACTTTATTTAAGTAGGAGTAATTCTAAGTAAGAATACTTAATAAATATAGTAGCTCACATTTAGGTGCTTACTAGGGACCAGGCACTATTCTAAGTATTAGAATTAATATTAACATTAATACTAATTAATAATAATAACATCATTACTGTTAATAATCATTAATATTTTATTATTTAATTATATTAAACATTTAATATAAATTTATATTAATATAAAATTATATTAATGTAAAATTATATTAAATATATTGTATTAACTTATTTATTATTTTTGATTATAATAGTAATAGAGTAATCATTAATTAAAATGATTAAAATTAATTAATTAAAATTAATTAAAATCAATAATTAAAATTATTAACTAATGATTAATGTTAATGTAGTAATATATTTAATCCTGCCAGCGATCCTGAGAGGGGGTCCTATCATTCACTGTCCCCGTTTTATAGGTGAGAAAACTGAGCCACCAGATAGTAAATGTGGCTGAAGCTGAACAGCTAATACTGAAAGTTTCTAAGCTCAGGTTACCTGTTTCAGACAGTATGTATCACCCATTTAGGTAAATCACCCATTAGGTAAATCATCGGTTAAATTATTGTAAGTATAGTGAGAAGTTCGAAGTGAACCCCACATTACCAAGGTTATGGGTCACAACCAAGGTCACAATTCCTGTTATTAGTGAGAGGTGTTCAGCTAGACTTTTCTGTTATCTAGCCTATGTGTTCCAATTAACTGGGGGTGCTAGGCAGTGAATAAAAAACGTGAAAAACTCTGGAGCCAATGGCCTGGCAGCAAATGGACTGAGTCCAGGGAGAAAATACCCAGGATACACATGGATTAATATATTCTCTTGAAAAGCATGTCCCACATTGCTAGGGAGACCCGAGTTTCCCATTTTTTAAATAGCATTATCTTCATTTCAAATATATAATGTCTATTTTAAATATTTTTATTCTAAAAATACATTAGACTTTACCTTCAGGAAATGCAATTGGAATATGAACATCAATATAAAATTAACAATAATCTTTATAATTAGTTATTTCCTCAAACTTCTCCCTGAAAGTCTGAGGCAGGAGCACCTGTCTCTTCAGAAACCCCCTGAAGTTTGGAGAGGGGGGGTGGGCAGAGATTATTGTATAACAATAGTCCACGACAGAGCTTTCTAGAGAATTAGCTCTGTAGTTCAACGATATTAGGAGATCTTGTAAAAATATTAGTATCTTCCATATGTTCAAAAATATTTATATGTATTGAGCATCCTTTGTCAATTAAAGTTCAACGTGATAATGCTATATCCTTGGAGGTTATATACAAGACCCAGTAATTCTTCCTGGGAAAAATCTGGGAAGGTCTCGAAGAAGAGGTTGAATTATAGGTATGCCAGGCAGAGAAGCAGGGAGAAGTGAGCAAAAATAAAAGCATGCACAGCAGCATCAGGGGAAAAAAAATGTAAGAAATTAGGGGAATTTGAATAAGTGTTGCTATGGCAGAACGCCTGTCAAGAACAGGAGTTGTAAGTGTGAGATTACACAGGTGAAGAGGTGTTAAGGACTAGATTGTGTCCCGCCAAACTATATGTTAAAGCCCTCCCCCCCAGAGCCCCCTCACCTCCCGCCCCCCGCCCCCACAGTGTGACATATTTGGAGATAGGGCCTTTCCGGAGATAATTAAGATGAAATGAGGAGCGGGACCCAAATCCCATAGGACTGGTGTCCTTATGAAAAGAGGAAGAGACACCAAATATCTCTCGTGTCTCTCCTCTGCCCTCTCTCTCTCCCTTCTTCTCTCTTTTCCTCTTTCTCTCCATGCACACAGAGACAAGGCCATGTGAGGACACAGCAAGAAGGCAGCCATCTACAAGCTGGAAAAGAGAGACCTCCCCAGAAACCAGCCATGACGACACCTTGATCTTGAACTTCTAGCTTCCAGACTGTGAGAAAATAAATTTTCATCACTTAAGCCACCCAGTCTGTGGTATTTAGTAATGGCAGCCCAGGCCGAATAAAACAGGGGCAAAAGGATAAAGGCACTGAGAGTCCTGCCAAAGAATTGATATTTTCATCTCGAAAGTGATGGAAAGTATGATTTCCAATTCTCAGTTTCCTCTAAAATCTGTGGCTCAATTTGCACTTTTGAAAATGGTCTTTATCTACAAACCTCTATAAAGGCTTTGCTCAAATATGCTCTCGACCATATTGATTGCTTGCTTTATTGGGTAACCCATAGAATTGTTCTTGGCTCTGACCCCTCAGATATGGTGTTTGTGTGGCAGTATGGGGGACATTCAGAGTTTCTTCAGAAGGAAGAAGGACATTTAGATGTGTCTGTTGTGCCGTGCCTCTAT